GCCGCTAAGCCCTCCGCAACCAAGAAGTTGCTACTGCGCCTGCGCGCCGATAGCCTTGACTGTAGAGTTCCGGGTAACGTAGCGGGTTGCGGAGGGCGTTGCGGGACGGCGAAAACGATCTACGGAAAGTACCTATTGGCAGTTACGGAACGTATGTATAAATACAGATATTGTCGCGAATGACAATTGATGAGGCAACAAATGACTGGAGGAAACTGACGTTTAATGGGGTGAACTTGTACCCAAACCATTATACAAGGCGGCTAGCGTCGCAGGCGTCGGTGGCAGTGTACCAGCAGGAACGAGAGCTGGGGCTACGGCGCCTTCATGTGCACTTTGCTTAGGATGATGACATCTGGTTAGTTTGTTCCGGATACTTATTTTTAACGCGACAGCGGTAAGGAGCTTGTCGCAGAAAATCCGATGTAAGTCGCGTGACGGGAAAATCCAGATTGGTCCATTGGGTCATGACGTCACAGCGACATAACCTCCCGCGGGAATTTAAAATAGCCCACACAGCTAACCTGAAACGTGACGCCACGTGTGAAATAAAAGTAATTAAAAAAATGTGACATGTAATGCGAAATAAAGGTAACCGCATGTCTCAAATGATTTCATTTTATAAAGTAATTCATTTGCCTTAAAGAAAAAAAATTTTGAACTTTTAGGCGGAATTCGTACCCACGACCCTTCGGCCGTGAACCAGACACGTAACTGACTGGGCCATTTTCGACTTCGTTTTTTGACAAAAGAATACAAAAGAATCACAATGTTAAAATCGCATGCACGACGCGATATGCGCGGGCATGAAAGTCAAAATTCCATCACATTCTCCAGAACGTCGAGAATGAGGCCCCAATCTATGGACACTTTCTATGGAATGCAATCGTACAGGGCGCGCGTTAACATCAGCAATGGAAGTCTTATTTAAATGTTTGCTGGAGAACATCCCAAAAAAGGAACGTATCCCAGCAGTCAAAAGATACATGTTTCAATATTCCAGGCTTTTGGCACAGAAGGCAGTCAACTCCCCATGGTGCAAAAAATATTTTTCCAATCGAGCCAAGTTTTTACTGGAAGCGAGTCTGTGTGCAATTGGAACAAATCATTTTTTTATCAAAGGCTGGATGGCCATCTTTTTAACCTTACACAAAACGTCCTGTCCTGGGCCTGCATAAAGCATAGAACGGTACACCGGTTTGGAAAAATGACAATAGGGAGTTTTAGCGAGTCGTTTTTGGAGCACACGGTTCCGAAATCATGAACAATGCAGCTGGTCTGTCCTGTCAAACCGTACTTTAAAGTTAGCGTATTTAGCGAATCGTAAAACTGACGCAAGCACTGGTCTCTATGACTATTGCTGGATAGCGTATCCCCGCTTGGTCGCTGCAGCGCGAGTGCGGCCACCGCACGGCCATCTTGCATCTCAAAAAATCGCGTTTTTGGAGTGTTGTGGGGGCTGGCGGCAGCGCGCTAAAGACACGTTTTCAACTTTCAACATGCGTACACACTTGGTTGTGAAAAAGCAAGAAAATATTTATGTATTAACCAATCACTTTTGGGCAAACGTATTGCAAATTTAACCCCCATCCTACGTTTCGAAAAGAACTGAACATTATCTCAAGATTAAGCAAACAATGCCAATCTCCTTATGTTCTTTCATCACTACTAGTTATGCCGATTTATATTCAGAACAAATTCTTTATTTATGTTTAGTTTTGAGAATGGAACAGAGATCAAATCAGCTCCAATGATTGCTTTACATATATCTCTCTCCCTTGGCAGCAACAACCACAGCAACCACAAACACAAAATTGTTTTAAAGCAAAGCTTAAAAGAAAAATAACTTCAATAAATAGCTAATAAATAGTTTTGTTCAAAAACAAAACTGAAAACCTGAAATCAGGCAACTAGTCTAGTAGTTATTTATTTAAAGCATAGAAGGACAAATCCCCCCCCCCCCAAAAAAAAAAAAAAAATACCGTATATATTAGCAGATTCATTTAGAATTTCAGCGCTCTTTCCTCTCGGATAGCATCAACTTTGTCCTCGTCTTCGCGTTGTTTTTGTTTCTATTAGCCCAAACTTCAACTAGCCCAAGCTTCAACGTTAATCAACAAGATTTCTATGCCAAGCGCAGAAAAAAAAAATGGCGAAATGGACATTAGTGTCTGTAAGAACGTGCCACACGAAATTGTATTAGGCAATTATTTCAGCGTATTCAGAACAAAATGTGAAGAGTCCCTTTGAATAAATAACAAATCATCAGTTACTGTGTTTATGGTCTGTAGTTTGCGTTTTTTTCTGATTCTTTGGTGGAGCACACATTAAACCCGAAGACACCTTGTAATGTTTGGTCTCTGCACATATAATTTACCAAGTTTTTCTAAGGCTGAGCTGCCTTAAGATGTATCAAACTGTCGCTCGTTTAATAATTAAGAGGATAAAAAAATTCTAAAAAATCTCACGTTTTTTCTTGATAAATAAAAGAAACAAACCAAATTATTCCCAGTAACAGTCATGAGGCTCAAGGAAACGTGTACCTACACTTCGCACAAACACACTCTTTATGTTCCCGGAATTTAAATTCAGAACGTTTTGGAAGCTCGTTGAAGCTCCTTTGAAAAGAAAAATGTCGAATTCGCGAACACACGAACTCCAACATCTTGCCGGCCGCGAGATCAACCTCTAACCACAGCTCAAGCCGGGTCAGAGGCCACACATCTGTTATATGCTTGACTGCAACCGGAGCATCCTGCACCGAAACCATTTTTATTTTTTTTTTCGTCTTTTTTTAATAAACAAGTCGTTTTAATAAACAAAGAAAACCAGAACGGTTTTCTTTGTTTCTGCACGACAACGTAATAATTTAAGACTAACCAAACCGATTAAATGACCTCCATACCACCCCCAATACTTCTCTGAGAAACTCACATGCGCTTGGGAGCCAGAGTTATGGCTGCTAACCGTCTCGCTCGCCTTAGCGTACACAGTTCACCCAGCCGGCAAAGCTAATTCACAGTCTATTCCAGCACGAGCCTGGCGGTGGTTGACTTGAAATAGTAGGATGACTCACGCAGGGAAGTTCAACACATATTCGAATGCGTCTGCGGCTGCGCCCGTAATATTGCACGACTCAAGGGTACGTCATCAGCTGACGTGAACGTGACCCGCTGCTCTGGTGATCCGAAGCCCGGGACGGAGGTCAGACGTGGCCTCGCTGTGCCGACCCAGACTTCGTACACCTGCGACTCGTCTCGAGCGCGCTGTTTATCGGAGAGCTCGCACCTGTGCCGGCAATATCAGGTCGCAATCCACGAGGTCTCTATCTGGAGTATGCAAGACTAAACCTGAGGACTGCAATCCATGCGTCGGTGGCGGAGGTTCGGTAGGAAGGACCTTCACAACAGGGATGCCACCGTATCGTTTTATCAACCGTAACAGAAGACATGTTCCAAGATGCTTCAGGTGGTCCACTATTCTCGAAAATTCCAAATGACACTGCCTGCATGATCTTCAACGAGGTACAACGAAAGCACGTATTGTCCTTCCATACAACAGCGCGGTAAAATTTCATGTTCAAGGCCACCACTTACAGACAAAGAATACCAGTTCATTCCACTGTGACGTCATGTGATAAATGTTGACACGGGCGTCCTTATTGGACAGGGGCATGGTGACATTTTGATGGGATTTAGGATGGCATAGAATTTATATACAAGTCGAATTCTTTTCGCATCTCTCGTCAGACAGACAGAATGTCAGTGAAGGGACCGCGGTCAGTCCTTGATCGAACGTTTTTTGAGCGCACAGAAGACTACTCGTCGTCCGAAATCACTACCTTCAAGGCAAAGTGCCAAGCCTATGGGAAATTAATTTCAGAATCAAAAACTTCCACTTCAAGCTTCATCTCATTTGGCGTCTCAAACAAATGTGAAAAATGTATTGCAGTATCAGTATTTCTGTATTTGTATTTCTGCCCTCCCTAAAATGTATTCCTGTATTTGTATTTCCAAATACTTTTTGCCTCTATTTAAAATGTATTTCCGATACGTATCGCGATACACTTTTACCGATATATTTCAGTATCAGTATTTTAGCTACTATTTTAATGTATCCCAGTATTTGTATTTCCAAATACATTTTTGAGTATTCCTGCCCAACCCTGCTTTGTAAATAGTTTCCGGATTATTTTTCTTAGCTCTCAGAAACAAAGTTAAACGCAACTTGTAAAAAAAAAAAAAAAAAAAAAAAAACTTTAATTTTATTTGTTTGGTTTGTTTTGGGGCCTGAACAAAACATGCCAAAATGTAGCGCGTTTTGTGTAGCAAAATCATAACTAGCTAGTTTGGAGAGATCAGAGATGACATCCGGACGCTCGCAGTCAATCAAAAGCGGAAGGTTGCTTCGCCGTTGATCTGCGGAAATTTATAGGCGTCTATACGTTTAATTATATTAACTTTAAATGCAGTATTCGAATAAAGAGAGTGATGACAACAAATAACCGCCTCTAACTCAAGGTTTTTTTAAGTGTTTCTCCTTTTAATAGGAATATTCAGACATTCTGAAAAGCGCGTGTAAGCTTTATGTGGAGTGCAAAACGTAAATGTTTATACATACTCTACATATGCAGATTTTGTTACGAGCCTTTTTGCGGAAAAGTTTCGATGCGAAATATATGAGCAGTACCAAATGGCAAGCTTTGCGTGAGGCGAATGGAATGTAGAAGTAAACAAGATATAAATTTAACAAAATAACATCTGCTTAGCTATGTTATCATGGAACAGCTTCACATAAAGTGCATCCTGAAAGCATTCTTGATCTAAAGGTCAAACATAATATTAAAAAAACGAAATACTCTTTCCCACATGTCAAAAGGGTTTATGTTACGTCAACTTGTCCTGAAAAACAAGGGGCAAGAGAGGAAACCTTTCATATAGAGCTCATTGACTCTGATGATCGGCTAAGCGCTGAACTGCAAGAAGTTTTTTTTTTTTCCAATGGACGCACATCGCTTCATGTTATGCATGTGGCTCTGGTTGGTATCTGCTTATGTAGAATGTTTGCCCAGAGTTCGATTAAGTTCAAGACAGCAAATTGAAGGTATGTACCTTAAAAGGTGTAAGATTTCAATTGTACACTTGTACTGATAAGCTGATAACAATATGCATACATAAGTAAAAAGACGCATGCACAATTACTGATAAGCTGATAACAATTTGCAAACATAAGTAAAAAGACGCATGTACAACAATCACATTACGTTTAGTAAGTTTATTTCACCACAAGACATTCGTTTTATATGTGATAGTTGGCATCACATTTAAACTGCACGAGTGAGAAAAAATACGGCCACGGTCATGATCTAATATCTCTGTTCGAATAAGTGGCCACCCATCATTTATGTCTCTGTTATGTATACGGTACAATCGTAGTTCACAACATGGCACAGTGCACGCGCTTTACCGTTTTACTCGACATTTGTCAATATTTATATACAAATAAGTTTCAACATTGTAGGATAACTGACATATGTTCAATGTTTCAGGGGAGACACGTATTACAATAGATTTTTACATAGATGATTCCGTCAGCGCGACTGAACAACAGGTGAAGGATTATTTGCACAACGTCATTCTAACGGTAAATATATATTTTAATGATCGTTTTATATGATCTAGTATTCTTTTGTTTCTTTTTTTTTTTTTGCAAATTGTTATGATATTTTTAAACAGGAGGAAGAGGTGTATTAGGGTTTCTGCCTACGTGCAAAATAATTAATTTTATAAATAATTAAATCGGTAGTAATATAAATAATATAAGCTTTCATGAAAGTTATTTTTTAAAACTGTTTTATAAATTCAATCTGTTCAGCGTTGAAGTGATTTAGCCTGTGTGTCTAGATTCCGTGAACAGTTTTTCGTAAGGTAGAGTACTTCATTCATCTCTCCTTGTGTCTGAACGTGTCTACATTCTCTTTCTCTGGTTAAAAATTCAAAGGTGTTTAACACAGGGAGCGTTAAAAAAAGAACGCTAAACAAATGGAAACCATTTCCTTTATTAATTTAATAACATAAATAACAGAAACGACAACTAAGACATTGAGGTAGTTATTCGAAGGCGTTGAAACCCATTGTGCGCGCCTGCTTGCGGGGGACAACATTGAGTATCACAGAGGCGGTAGACGCTCATGGTCGACAGATATAAAGCGAAACCTCGCGAACCCTGGCGCAATGCCGGTAGCGGCAGTGATTCGGTCGAAGAACAGCAACGTCCGCGCGGAAGGCAGTCCCACGACGAAGTGCAGGCAGCCAGCAAATCTTGATTAAACCTTATCACCGCGCTAGCAGAGCTTGGCAGAGCAGAGGGAATGGTTTTGTGTGCCTCGTGACGATGGCGTTTCTAACACTTAGTTTAACCAAATTGTGTCGAAGATACGAGGCACTTCAAGCGTTTATTCGTGTTGAAATTGCAAAATGTATAAAACATAGCCTCAGATAAATCAGATAAAAGCACAACTTGCCAACCTAATATTAGGTACTTAGGTGACCGCCATGCCATATTTCTCATGTCGGTCACTCACGGACGAAAATTGCGAAACACTCCGGTTTTTTATTTCGCTATTCCGCGGAGGAACCGTTATATTCTGAAAACAAGTAGTGTTCTCTATACCATTCTTTTCGATACATAATGTAAAATTACAAGCTGCAAATCTTTTCAGTGCTAAAATCGTTGCATCGGCCCTCTAAATGGTCACTCCGGGCAAAAACTGGGCTAAAATAAATTAGATATTCACATGAAGGGAAACTCTGCGGGCGGATGTCGTGACCTTCAACAGCCCGCAAAATTCCGATTTCAGCTCTAGCATTCACACGGACGGCGGGGAGCCGTGAGGAATATCGGTGTTAGCAAAAAGAATTTAGCGATAATGTCAGCAGTTGCAGGAGGCATACATTCATTGAACAAAGACGTCACTCACTCACTGTGTACGGCGCAAATAGCGAGAATCGCGCGAGCCTTTCTCCGGGAATCTTTTCCCATATCGACACCTTGATGTTCGTCTTTTCCCACAACGCCGGGAACTCCTTAACGAGGGAAATGAAAAAAGAACGTGGTGTCGTCATTTAACTTGGCCATTTCACGCCTCCGGCAAGGAGGAGGGCGGCGACGCGAGAAGTCAACAAGGGATGACGTATGTCTCACACGATGCGCGTTCCGCAGAGAAAAGTGGCGGATTACTCCTTCGTGTGAATACCCCTTCCGTGGAAGGAACGAAATATTACGTCATATTAAACCCGTACATTCCACTAAACCGATATTACAAATGCGACCACCTGCTCTTTAGCAGACGGCAGACGGGTTCGCTGTTAGTCAAGCAACACTGGGCAACGACGTAGCATTCGTGCTTTCGTACTTCTCCCATGCCTTTTATTTGATGTGTAAAGTAGTGATTAGTGCTGCTTGCCTCTTTTTATTTTTTTTTTTTATTTTTGTGGTTTTCGTAAATCTCCAGTGTATTAAAAGAAAAAAACCACAGCGTGCATCCCCTTCCCCCCCTCCCCCCCCCCCCCCCCCCCCCACACACACACACAAAACAAATAATAAAAAGATGCCTTCGTGTTGTTTAACCGTAACAATAGACTACGTATCGCCGAACGCTCGTTTTCCGCTCAAGTGTAGCGCTAGCGGCCCCAACCAGATGCCGAAGTTTTAGAACTATCTGTTATGTCAATCAAAAGTTAAGTGATTTTCTGAAATGTGAGTGGGAAAATGGGGCCCGTTTTTGCCCGTTTTCGGTAAATGGTGCCGTTCAGCTTCTTATATTCGATAGCTCCGTCGGCCGCCATTTTCACAATTAGACATTTATAAAAAGTCCCTTTTAACTTTTGAATTAGATAACGAATTGTTATAAAACTTTGGCGTCTGGATTGAACCTCTAGCGCTACATTTGGACGCAGAATGGGCCTTCGGCGAAGCGTGGTTTATTTTTGCAATAAGACAAACTGCACATTCCTTTTTTCTGGGGGGGAGGGGGGGGGGGAGGGGGAGAGGGGTGGGGGGAAGGGGCATTTTTTATATTAGTGATCCTGCGCGTTTTAGCAGAACAGTTCGAAATCGGTTCTGCTCTGCACCACAGCATGAATGCACTAGCGTCATGAGCGGCCCCAGAAAGTAGTGTCTCCTAAGAGGAGAATGAATACTCTATAGCACGCGAGATGAAAGATCGTTCGCCGTGAATTCTCCGCGTTTATCTCAGAGATAACTACCCCACCGCGCAACGGAAGTTTCACCTCTCTTTCTACGTACAATTTTATAATCCTATAAAAAAAAAACACTAAAACAAAACCAAAACGCGGAAACGAATGGATGATTATCTCGAAGCCCGTTGGCAATTCATTTGTAACCTGACCCGTAAAACCATAAATGAAACGTCATTTAACACATTTTATTTTATTATCCGACTTACTGTGACGGTTATTTCCTCATCTAATATCCGACGATTTCGGTAAATTCACAATAAAAACAAAATCTGTGTAACCCTTTAACTCCCCTCCCCCCACAACCCCCTCCTCCCAAAAAAAACTGTAAAAAAAAGGTTTGTTCAAACTGATATTTAACAGACTTCATAAAAGAGAAATGATTAATTTCAACAAATCTGGCTAAACTTGCTGCCGATATTTTTTTTTATGTATTCAGGTACGACGCCGCTCTGTGGGATAGACTGGTTGAAATAATTTACTTCCCAAGGAAGGAACACAATTCGAATTCCCTCCAGAATGACATTGTTAGAATAACCGATTATACTTTCCTTTCTGGAAACTTTTTTATGTCTATGCAATAAGTTTTTACTTATGGGTGGCGGAGTTAGCTGTGAAAATTATGTCTTTCTTTATATTTGGCTGCGCTCGTTTGACATTGAGGAGTGCCATGTGAAAATATATGCAAATAGCAAAATCTGTGAAAAACCCAACAGTACGAAAGCTGATTTTGTTTAGTTCCTTGTTCCCAAGGCTGTTAAGCTGTACCGCTCAATCACCTCCCCACTTTTAAAGCATATCCAATAGACGGCCTATCTAAATTAAAAAAAATAATAAATAAAAACACCACAGGAGGATCACTCCATTATACTATGAATTTATGGGGAATTGAATTGGATAGCGCCTAGTTCTTTAATGAACCATGGTTAAAAGCACTAAAAAGACGTACACAAGTTAGAAGACAAACACGGGCGCTGCTCACAACTGTATTGGGAAAGGAAAATGGAAGTTATATATTTGTATATATATATATATGGGGGGTTTCATCTCAAATCGTGCAGGCAAAAAGGGTCGAAATTTCAATTTCGATGAAAAAAATATATGTTATGGCGCCGTTTCTAAAACCGCAGTCGACACAAACCGCAAGTTCGTCCGATGTTTTGTTCTCGACTTATGAATTTTTAAAGAGGCCGCGGCGAAAAGCAGTGTTTTTCACACCCGTCGTGGGTTGGATGTTTCGCTTGATCTCTCGCCATGGATTTTCAGTCCACATTATATTAACTTTTTTCAAGCACTCTGTGGACACATTTAAAAGGCTCCAATACCATGAAATAATTTTAGGCCTTTTGCTTTTTTTCTGTAAAAATGTCAAAAACGCCTCCTCGGTCAATTGTTGACGAACTTTGACAATTAATTACTGGCGATCTACTTGGGTTACATCAATATTTTTTATGTCCACGGAGAGCCCAAAACACGCTCTTTATATTTATTATAAAAGTCCTTGGCTGTGTAAAATATCCTTTGCGGTACGTTTAGGTTAATATTATGCAAAAACCAAAAAGTGCCATTTTTGAAATTGATTTTCTTAAAAAACCCTTTTTTTTTTTTCAAATGTAGATATGATAGTTGTCTACACGAAAATCAAGCCTAGAAAGTGTATATTTTGCTTGTATGTTCTACATTTAAGCATCAATATCGTACAAAAACGTGTTCTTACGGCTCGAAATGGACTTGCGAATTGCGCGTCTTCACAAGCTTGGAAATCGTTGTTTTCTTTTTTTTAACGTTGCCACATAAAAATGAAATACAGCATTTCCACCCTGATATATTTATTGATTATTTAAATTTTATTATAGGCGGCAAGCTACATCGGAGGAGTTCCAAAAAGAGAAAGCAACACTTCTTAACAAACCAGCAGGTGTCGTAAATTTTTAACGTGTAGCAGTCGGCACACGTCTTATTGATTCGGGGCCCTAACTGGCCTGCATGAACGTCCCGCCCTTTCAGAGCCGGCAGATGACCACGACCTTTCGCGCTCGTTGTGTTAGATGGGACGGCCCGTGAGAGGAAAGCGAGCAGCGCACCCTGTGTCACGAGGAGTGAAATGGTACGATTGTGTCGTTGACGCGGCGAACAGTGACAGCCACCCAGGAGGAGTCTGTCAGAGTATTTCACAAGGGAAAGCAAAGGAATCGTTGCCTGAAAGGATGAGGACACCACGGCCTTACAATGTCGACGGTCAACAACTGTTCTGCCAGCCAAAACAACGCCGCGTGCGCGCTAAAACCGGCGGCGCGGGACAAAAATCCCGCAGACGCACACACGAAGATGGGCCGGTTTCGTTAGGGATGTGGGGAAATTTGAAACCAGCCATCCGTGCATGCGTGAAACGATACCGCCTGTTTGCCCTAGCTTCGAGCGCCTTATCCTTACCTTGAAACGGCCGTGCTCTCTCTCGCTCTCCGGGGAGATCCGATAGCACCGAAGGGTTATCTATTAAACTTGAGGAAGAAAACGAGAAGGGAGTGTTTAAGTTTAATTATCCCCACCAACCCGCTCGTTCTGTCCTTATAAAGGGTTATCTCTTTTGGAAACAGCAAAGCCCGGAGACAGAAATTAAAACGAGCGTGTTGGTAAATATACTTGTGTTTGTATTCTGCCCGGAGACTAGTTGGGTCGAAGTCAGCCTCCTTGTCCACTATAACCGTTTGTGAAGAGTGGGCTTCTCCCGAGATGAAAAGTTAGCGCCGGCTAACGTGTTCTTTTGAAAAAGGGAAGGGGAAAGAGAAAGTTTGAGTAACTGCAGAAACTACCTCGAAAGCTCCTCTCCCGATATGAAGCTTGAAGCATAGTCTCGGTTACCTTCTCGCGCATCGCCTGCTCGAATCTATTCTTCACTTTCTTTCGTACAGCTACTGTTCCGCACAGCTGTCGTGGATGTGCGTAATAGAGGGAGGAACAGATTCGAGCATCATCTGGACGCCGTCATCCCGCCAGACTTCAATGTCGTGGGGCCGACTCGTGTGTGTTTCTTCGCCCCGCTGAACTTTGTTTCTCGGGTGCGGTTTTTTCTAAACGTGTTTTTTTTTTTTTCAATGTTTTCTTACTAACTGTTTGTTAGCACTGTTCAGCTGTTGGGTTTATTTTGTCATGGCATAGCGGCCTGGCGGTAATGTCGAGAGCGTGTTCGCACGCATTTGGTTGCGTCCCGTTTAGGGAATGCCCGGGGGAGTTGGTTTTTGTTCTTGCCATGGGCGGCTGAGTTTTCCCGTCTTTATTAAATTATTGATTTTTTTTTGTTTTACCTTTACGTGCCGTCGACTTCTTTGTCTGACTCTCCACCAGGCATGGAGTGGACCTATCGCCTTGCCACCGCTCGAACCTAAATACTTTATTTTTTTTAACGCAATTTTCGTTAAGATCGGAGTTGGGCAATTTAATTCCTATTTATTTATTTTTATTTCCTACCCCTCTCCATGACACACTCTCTGTGTGTTTCGGACCGTTTCTGTGTCACCACTTTTGTGTATTACGAAAGCGAAAGGACATTCCCTGGTGACCTGTGCGATGTGCGGTGAACAAGCCCCAGTGTTTGGTTTCGTAAAGAATTGTATATAATATATCGACAATGTAGTGACTTTCTTTGTCTTAGTAATATGACAGCTAATAGCTAGTCGTGCTAGTTTACTTTGAAAGGTTTATAAATCGAAACAATACAACGTCTGTGCCTTTTGGTTATTGAAAGTCTACTAGGCCTGCTGATTTGGTTGATATGTATCTCATGGTTCCCGCCCTTATCAAAACATACATAAATATTCAATACCACAAAATCCGTTTATAATTGATTACAAAATGCAGAAGAAAATTCAAGAAAACTTTTTCACAATTCATAGAGACGCATGGGTCGCTATGTCTGACTTAGGTCTTGCAAAACAAAGACGTCTTTTTCCGATATTGAGATCTAAATATAAAACATGCGAACAAAATATACACTTTCTAGGCTTGATTTTCGTGTAGACAACTATCATATCTACATTTTAACAAAATATACAAAAAATAAAAAAATGGGTTTTTTGGGAAAATCAATTTCAAATATGGTACTTTTTCGTTTTTGCATAATATTAACGTAAACGTACCGCAAAGGATATTTTATACAGCCAAGGCATTTTATAATAAGTATAAAGAGCGTGTTTTGGGCTCTCCGTAGACATAAAAAATATCGGTATAACCCAAGTAGATCGCCAGTAATTAATTGTCAAAGTTCGTGAACAATTGACCGAGGAGGCGTTTTTGACATTTTTACAGAAAAAAAGCAAAAGGCCTAAAATTATTTCATGGTATTGGAGCCTTTTAAATGTGTCCAAAGAGTGTTTGAAAAAAATTAATATAATGTGGACTGAAAATCCATGGCGGGAGATCAAGCGAAACATCCGACCCACGACGGGTGTGAAAAACACTGCTTTTCGCCGCGGCCTCTTTAAAAATCCATAAGTCGAGAACAAAAAGTCGGATGAACTTGCGGTTTGTGTCGACTGCGGTTTTAGAAACGGCACCATAACATATATTTTTTTCATCGAAATTAAAAATTCGACCCTTTTTGCCTGCACGATTTGATATGAAACCACCCATATATATATATATATATATATATATATATATATATATATATATATATATATATATATATATTTATATCTGATACACGTATCGTCAATCAGGCTACACATGCGCGAGATACAAGAGCATAAACCCGTTTACATATATTTATCGAAAAAGTTTATGCTCTTGTATCTTACGCATGTGTAGCCTGGGTGACAATAAGTGAATCAGATATATATATATATATAGACCTCCCATCTTCCTTCCCCAATACAGTTGTGAGTAGCGCCCGTTTTTGTCCTTGAACTTGTGTACGTCTTTTTAGCGCTTTTAACCATGGTTCAATACAGTGAACACCAACTAGGCCAACAAAAAGTTATTTTATTGTCCTAGTTCTTGTTTGTGCATTGGTATACTATACCAGTGCAAGCCAGGATATCAATATCTATTTTGTAAAATATATTTCAAGATGCAATTTTGTTTTTATGTTAGTCTAGCGGAGTGTAACTTTCACTACTGTTGTCCTCTAAATTTATAAACATTACCGTCCGATATCGTTCGGTATGCTTGTGCGTGTTCATAGTTGTTCAACTTTACTTTTGCATATATTCTAACCACTTTAGTTTTGTGAAAAAGACCTACAGCTAAATATTAAAATATTAAACTTAAAATTATGTCGCGTGACATTTTTTTCTGACATACTTGTTATTAAATAACACATATTAAAATTGCTCCTAAAATGTGTTCAAAAGTATTGTATTTGGGAAAATGATTCTGGTAATGCTTGATTAGATGTATACATATTTATCTTGTAACAATTTCTTTTGGTATGCATTTTCCAGACAACGGCCGATCTCCAAAGTTATTTTGTCGTCGACGATATACATCTTCCGTACTGGATAAAATACATTGTAAGAAATTGCACAATCATCATATAACCTTCGATTGCTAAGGGTGATATGAATCGAACCCTAAAGTTATATTGTTATGAAGTCCATCTTCCCTAGGGAAATATATTACTTGTGAGATAGCCAGAATATATCATATAAATATAATTCTTGAAGTATACTTAGAAACACTAGTATTTTGGGCAGTATCCTAGTGGAAAAGCCATTTGTACGAGAAATTGCTTGTGTCTAATAAACACATCAATCATACAAGGTAGATGAGAACATATAAGAACCCTATAATAAACTTATAGGAAGCTTCTCACAAGTTTATTATATGGTTCTTATATGTTCTTAAATATCTTACATAGATCTATACTTAGTTTTTATATGGTACTTATATGTTTTTGTATATCTTGTGTTATTCATATATCTTTATTGGACACAGAAATTTCTCATAAAAATGAAATTTTTCATAAGGGTAAGGGAAATATATTTTTGTTTAAGCAGAAAAACAAACTGTAAGGTCATTAGTGCTAGATCCAATAACTAAATTTTCGTGCCTTTCATTATTACCTACATTCCTAAACGAAGCCTTTTTTAGACTGACGCCGAATTTGTTTTTTTCCGAGAATCCTTTTAATTTATCCAGCTAAAATGAAAATGTTACTGGTTAACTAAAAAATAACTGGGTTTTCATACAGCTACTGACATAATAAGTTCATCTCTAACAAATAAGGGAACAACTTTGGCAATGTGTTTTCAGCGGAGATGTCAGCAATGCTCGACAATTCAAAACCAAGCAGTTGCAGAGTTTGTTTCTCAGCAATCAAAGCAACAGACTGCTCCAAGCGGGAAAGCTTTGCACTTCGACACCAAAAAAAACATTACAATCGGTCGCCGCAAAAAGAAAAAAAAGAGCGGGCAGTAAAAGGAGAGTCTTCGCGCTCAGTGTACCGCCACGGCAGCGGCCCTTCTTCAAAACACAACTTGGCCGTCGGAAACGGCTTTCTAGAAAAATAATTAGGGTTTGGCGGGGCGCCGCAGTCGTAACATGGTGCTTTTCCCCAAAATGCTTCTGATGCTCCTTCTTTCTCCACCATTTTGTTGACTTTCTTGCCGGTATTTTTGATGTCCTCTACGGGAGGCCAGTCCGATGCACAGATGGGACACAAGGGCTACGTTGGTGATCAACTGCACTCTTGTATGACTCATGTAAGAACGCATAAAGCATTGATAAGTGCAAGTGACGCCGATAAAAAAATAGGCAAGCAACGACCCAACCTCAGCTACCGTATTTTGTTTAGTTACCCGCGTTATGCATCGTCCTTTTCAAGGTTATCACTAAACTATAAAAATGGATAAAAATGTGTACTCTCCTCCTAAAAAATATACAACAATAAAACAGACACGAAACAAAAGTGTCTGAACAAATCTCAACAACGAGCGATAAGAATCCCCAGCATCTTTCTCCCGCTAGTCGCTTTAGAAAAAGGCGTCCAGAAAACTAGAAGTGCCCAAAAAACGTATCCGAACAGCCACTGAACACTGCTATAAAAAAACAAAATTCTTCGTCTAAATTATTAATAAAATATAAAAAGGATTACTCAGTCCTCATTGACCAAAGAATACTTGAAGAACTTTTATAATGTTCGCTTACACTTTTAATATTTTCAGTTTCTTAACCCTTATCGGTCATCAATATCGCGGTAAACGACACACATAATGAATGAAAAGAACTCCTGAGGATAAGGAAGAACCTCGGAGCCGCAGGTTAATTGGCGAAAATACAACTGCTGCTCTATGCACATGCAGTCCGGGTAACACAGGTGGTGGCGGTCAATCAAACGTGCGTTTCACAACTTTTCAAAATGTGCAGATGAAAGTAAACGGCGTTAGAGTCAGTAATATAGCGCCACAAAGAAGTTCCAACTTAGAACGGTGTATAGAGGAGTCTATGTCACAACGCGCGAGTGTAAAGATTGACTTTAGCAATAAAAAATAAAAGTCTAGACAATATAGGACCGATCATTACATGTTGCAAGGAAGTGGAATGGTTCTTTCTGTTATAGCTGGCTTAGTAAAGAATTCCTCTAATTAAGAAGTGTGTTTATGAACTGCGTTTAGGGGAACGAGCTTGCACTGAAATCTGCGCTGCAGAGTTATAAAAACCCGGAATTTATTCACCTGGATGGAGCAATTGATGCATTAACAGCCTATTTTATAAACCAGAACCCTCCTGACATCATTTGCCTGGTAACAAAGTAAGACAAAGTCGCTATGCTTATTTCAAAATTGCAACACAGGGGAACCCTACATTCGGTTTTTTTTTTCTTCTTTTTTTCAGCTATACAATACACAATGGAGATAATATACGAAAGGCTTATGGTGAGTACATCTCTTTACAGGTACTTGAAAAAGGGAGCCGGTATTTGTTTTGAGTATTAATTAAGTTTCTTTTTTTTGTTTTTTTTTGTTTTATAAAAAAGTGGAATGTGTTTCACAAAAAGCGATATGAAGTTTTTTATGTAGACTAAGAGATGCTGTGCTCTCGTTTATAATATTATGCACATTTAATAATACAGTACGCCAATAGTGCGGAAAAAATGTGCAGAATTTTATTTTTGTTTTCGACATTTTGTGTTGAATTTACTTTAAGGTTTTGAACACGAGAAAACCGTTCGATTACTTAGAACGAAATTGAGGCATTTTGCATTCGTTTACTTGATATGGTAGTTTTGTAACAATTTAAAAAAATATATATTTAAATGTGCATTTGAAGAAATTTGGCCACACGCGAGTGGTGGTCATATTTGCGACTCCAGGCAACACGGCGCTAACTATTACATCGGCGTTTCTCCGCAGTTTACCCTGACGGGGTACTGGGGCGCACCAAATTCGGTCGCATAAGTTATTGCGCAAAAAAAAAACCCTTTCAACTGCGCCAGATCCGCTGAATCATAACTAATAGTACAGCTAAAGCTAATAGCTTGAAGTTGTGGCATTGAACTCTCTATTTTTATCAATAATAACGAAAAAAAGAAAAACGGTCGATCGTTTCACTTCCTGCTTTTCGCTGGAACGCATGCATTTTTTATCTAGACCAGGTAGAACTTCGACAAAAAAATCTACATACAAAGTATAGCAGGATCTACCAACATTAGAAATCATCAACATGCCACAAAAACGTACCGGCGTGCGGTTTTGTATCACTAAAGCATGATGCATGCTGAAAACCCCGCGCAAGCGGTGGTGCTCCACTGGCAGTTAGCTTCACCTTCGGCGAGGTGAAAACTTTACTACTGGGTTAGAAATTTTGTGGGCGCTGAATTCCCCATTCACATTTTAAGGAGTTCAATTAGACACGTACGTACATACGTCGAAGGTAAATGTTTTACTAGCACAACCACCTTTAGTGTAATATTTACTTTGCGAGAGCATTTAAGCAATTTCGAGACATACTCCTATTTCGTGGTCGAATCATTAAAATATAGGCATACTATGTAATTGTTCGTTACCCCAAAAAACATCTAGCTACGTAGAAAGCTTATTTATGTGTGTATGTGTTTTTGTATGTGATATACCTGCGGTATCTCGGCACTTAAAAAACTTTTGGGTGTTTTAGTTTTTCTTAAAAATATCAAAATATTTCTTTGTACTTGTGACGATATTTGTCTTGCTTCGGTGGATACATTTATATAAGAAATAACAATAAGGGAATAAATAATGTATAAATAACACACCGACACAAACCATATTTTCACGACTAAAATTAAAGCATTTGTAAATATTTTCTTCCAATTTCGTTTCAGGGTATTCTAAGGATCACACTCTGTGCAAGATTGTTGTATCTATGTTGTTAGCATACGCCCCCGACACACCGGGATACGCCGGCAGAATGTTGTCCGAAATGATCAGAGCCAGGTGAGTACTAAGAACAATTATTATCAGTATGATAAGAAAGAAAACGAAGTCGTGATTCAGCGCTATATTTGTGTCCTTCGTCTACTTGTCCTTGTGTCTTTTTCATTTCTTTTTTTTTTGCGCTGTTTTTTCTTGAAATTAATTAGGTAACTCTACTATAGATAGCAAAATGATAAGTATTGGAGGTGCGTAACAACACTTCTAAAGCAAGAAGAATATGTAAAATATCATTCCCTATTTAATATCACTCGTGGTTAGCGTTTGTTGTTCTGAGTGGTATTTTGCATATTTGAAAATTCGCATTGTACAGTCTCCGGCAATATGAAAGACCCACTGGGAGCGCGTGGCCGAGGTGGTGGTTGACGGGGGCGCTGCGAGCGCTCCGGGCAGTTCCATTCTGCTTCAAGGGGAGGACGCTCACTCGGGGCTCAGCTAAAGCGCTCTCCTATCAGTTTGTGCCGTTTGTGCTGAGCTTGAGTGAGCGTCCTCCCCTCGAAGCAGAATGGAATTGCCCGGAGCGCTCGCAGCGCCCCCGCCAGCCACCGCCTCGGCCACGCGCTCCCAGTGGGTCTTTCATATCGCCGGAGACTGTACATTTTAAGGAAACGTTAGCCAATATTAGAATGGACTCTTTATTTGTTATGCAAGCATCTCAGAAATCAGAAATTAGATAGAGCGGTGAACGAGGCACATTCTTGGAAGTCCTATACGAGCCACTCTTGCTCCTTAGACGTCGTTGCTACAACGCGTTAGTTAGTTAATGGGTACCTTTTTTTCCGTTTATACAGCTTTTCTCTGGCTCGCCAGATAATTGTCAAAGGTTCAAGCTTGAGCCGAAAATGCAACGCATGAACCGAAGAACCAGCAGCCAGGGAAATTTAGAATATGTTTGTCAGTATAGGCCCAAACGTTGCCACATGAAAACTGAACATCCAGAAGTAAAGCCTAACTCTGCCACTTGTCTGGCGATTTAGGCCCAAAGATGCGAAATGGCAGCCAAACTACCAGAAGTAAAGCATAACTTTGGCACTGGCTTGGCGAATTAGGGCCACGGTACCCAGACTTTGGCCAAAAAGATCAAGTTTGGCTCTACCTATAGGCTTCTTGGGGCTGTTTAAAGCCCTAAATAAAAATAAATAAAAATATACAATTTGGCCTTTTAAGATTGTGCTACATAGGAAGGTATCATAGGTAGGCATATTTGCTTTGAAGCAGTTTCGGCTCAAATATTGCTTAAAATGCTTCAGGGTCAGTGGTCAGTGAAAACAAAACATTTTGTATCCATAAAGTGTAGAAACTATATTTATATATAAAGTTATAACACTCTTATCTGTTTATATGAAACAAAGTTGAAACTAACATGTGAATGAGACTTCTCTGATTTATATTTTATGGGCTATTTAAGCCCGCATAACACCCATAAGTTTCTCAGGGTGAGCATTATTTTTATGCGCATCCTAATAGAAGAGGCTGTCCTAATATTACAGAGACCAAATAAGAGCAACGTTCGAATACACCGAGAAGTGTTGTTTGACTATTTATTATTCGATTGTTTTCAAGCGTAAATGATATCCCACCTAGATATCTCGCCGGATTTTTCAGATCTAAATATTAATTAAGGACATGTGCCTCCAGTTACTCGATAGTCATGTGTTTCTCTATACAAAAATGCCTCGTGTTTACCGAGTGCCTATGAGATGAGATATCGTATAAAAAACGACACCGTGTAACGTCTCCAAATATTTTTTTCTTCAAGTCATGGCACAGTGCTGGTTAGTGCCACGTTCTCGTTGTTTTACTATTAAAATGTCTTATCTTAACTAAACGATTTTTTTTATTTGTTTTACATGCAAAAGAGCCATGTTTTAAGATTAAAATATATTTCTTATCAGCATTTCGCTGACATTTAAAATACGCCAACAAAATTATATTACCTCATTTGCCTAAGCTTTTAGAAATTTTGTGATGCGACTTGTGTTTTATTTGTCTTCTACTTTTCTTATGCTTTAATGACCATAAATCTAGCCTCCAAGTTTTTACATAAACGGCTGTGTCAGTGACAAGCGCTCATACCTATTTGAGCTTTATAAAATGAAAACGATTCATTGCATTGAATATGGCCTTATTGAGAGCGCAGTTTTAATACGACCAACCTAAGCCTTACTTTGAATAATCTTGCATATTTAATAATTATGACTTCAGGGACTACCATACTCTTACATGAGGGGCTCTGGATAAGAGAAAAAAATGAGCCTTGCAGAAACTACAAATATATATATATATATATATATATATATATATATATATATATATATATGTTGGCGAAAGAAAGAATGGAACAAACTCGGGACGAGGGACGAGGAACATTTCTTCCACCAACATGCTCTTCAGTTAATATATATTGATATTTCAGCGTAAATCCACAGGAAGGGCCAAATCTGTATCATCGAACATCACGAGGAGGCAGTTTCAAAAACCATATGAAGGAATACTTAAGGTACGTAAATTAAACACAGGTTACATAAAATGATCCAACAATATTTTTGTTTCGTGTGTAAAGAAAACAAACTTTATTTACATAATGATATTTTCCATACTCATTCCAGCTTAAGAAACTTAGAGCATGGTTTATTATTTTTGCGCTTCGAGATTTTTTCTTTCGCGCTCTTACCAACAATAGTTGTAATCCCATTGGCTGCGGGTATATAACGACATGCCCGGCATTTGTCTCGACCTGCATTTCTCAAGCAGCCGGTGACAACCACGGAGTAAATTTTCAGACAAAAACACTGTGCTTCGTAATAATGTCAGCCGTCATGGGAATATATTATGAGTACACTTATCCATTCCGTAGGAATGAATTAGTCAGCTTTAGATAGGGATCATAAACCAACTGTCATATGACGGCAGTACGCGCCGTAGAAGCCTATATACTATACGATCCCAGGCTTACAGGCATGTGCACCTGTTTTTCTATCACTCTTTAAACGTGACCCGTTTCCAACGATCGGGCAGATTAAAGCTCCTCAAATTAGTAAATGCCCAAGGAGGTTTCTACGGAAAATGTGTGGTTCGTCGTATGGACGTTCTCATCAACCGATGCCCCAAATTCCTAGACTTCGAGTAGATAATAAGATTTCGGGAACTGGAACCGGAATAACAGTGGATGACCGTAGCAATGCTTACAAAGGTTGCCAAATAGTATCTTTCAGTGTTCCATCTGGTAGGAGTTATACTCTATATAAATTAGCTTTAGAAACGCGGTAATTCGCTTTAGAAACACTGGATGTGACCAGTTAATTTTTTTTTCTTCAAGGTCGTTGTACTTGAGGGTGAATAGCTTCGAGCATGTTATCGCTCCGCAACCAATTAGGTTGCGGCGTCAGCCAATAAGAATGTCGCAGGACCCATCGCGAAGAAGGAAGAGTGAACATTATATGGTCATTCCCCGTTTCGTTTCTTAATACCTGGACAAGATAGTTTTTTTTTGAAAATGTAGGCGTAAGGTTGACTGGACACGAACGGGCGTGCCAATATAATTCTGCGTGCACTTTGCCGCGTTTTCTATTTCTGCTTTAGACGTGCGTGGGTGTACATAGCTGAGGCTCCTATGGATGCACGGGAGCAGTGTGCGGAATCCTATAGTACATGTCGCATACTGTCACTCTTCGCTTAAATTGTACCGAGTACTCATTTTTATGTTTGAATCGTTTTAAATCTAGTACATGCAACAAAGGTTTCAAGCATCACGACCCTCCCGAAGATAACAGGCCTCCACAACGTGAGTTGATTGTTTTTCTAGTTAACAGACTACAAAAGAAAGCGATAAAAAATGCTGGTAAAAAAAAAAATTATGAAACAGCTGCCTGTGGCGCGTTATTGAATACATACTTAGTCCTTACTGTTTGTTAGTTTCAATACATCTATGGAGCGTTGGTGAGTTTCTTGATATTTCAATAAAACTACGTAATATAGATACATTTGTATTTGTCAAAACGTACGTTTTGCACGAAATAATATTGTTATTTTTTTGTATTGGCAAGTGGTCCTGCTCTGTAGTCTCCTTCACAAATCACGAAGCAACCCACGATTTTTGGGTTGTTCCATTAATAAACACGTTGAGGTAAAGTCGGCTAAGAGACTCAGTCATGACCTATGACTATACGCTGTTGCACCTTACGAAAAGCAGGAAAAAGTCCTTCCGCAAAGGCTTGTACTCTTTGCACTTTAGCGAGCGAACGCTGGGGAGGCGTCATCAGTAGACGCGAGTCCACTTGCCTCCTCTCCTATGGTGTTTCGCGGATGTTAAATAAGCATAATAAACACTTTTATCCTGCGAATTAAGTTCGAATTACGCAGAATGCCGACTCGCGGGGCTGTTCTAGCGCGACATAATATTTCCCTCTAAACTTGTCACGTGACGCCCACCCCGTGACAAAGTGGCTTAACATCACTTACGTCTGTGTGTCACGTGAGACTGGGGCACTGCATGACGTCAATTACAATGTCACGTGTCATGAAGTGATGTCTCGCGACACGGAGACATGAAGTTACGTGAACACGTGGCACTGTGACGTATTGTTAACTAGTCACGTGGCACTGTCATGTCAAACTACATGGTCACGAGGAACCGTGACGGCACATCACGCTGCCATATAGCCCACAGCAGCATCAATCACGCGATAACGTGCCCTTTATAGCAACACCACCAACATGATCGTTGTAAGCCCGAGTTGTCATGCCTTTGTTACAAACATTCGAGATGCTGTAGCCTTAGATAATGACCCATAAGATCATTCTGTTTTAATTTTGTCAATTCACGTTTATGCCGCCGCTTAATCATGGCTAGCAAGAAAATTGTCACACAACACCTCATCGCATATTCATACCAATACTAATGGACAACCCTGATCGCTCAGCCCCACCAGAAATCCCTCCCGGACCTCCCGATGTCCCAGAAGTTCCGGACACTAAGCCACCAATGCCTCCACCAATGCCTCCACCACCAGCACCGCCGGACACAACTGCCAAACCGCCAGAAGTGCAACCACAGCCACCATTACCGCCTGTGCCACCAGCGCCACCAGTCTCACCGCCATCCCAACCAGACAAGCCTCCAAATCCAGTACCAGAGGCAACCACACCTGCCGAGCCTCAACCTGATTACTGCTAAAGTGGATCGCATACTAGACTGGTTCATCAGTGGCACGAGTATTTGGTAGCACGTGGATTGCATGTCCGGGATTGAGTTTTGTTTTTAATAAATATATTCTGGCTTAACACTTGAGATTCCGGATTATGAACTTCACGCTTCTCCTTTGGCGTCCCGGTACTCCTAATAAAATATTGAAATAACCAGTTGAGAAGACAGCGATGATACTTGTGTCACTTGGTCTCCAGCTTTAAAGAAAAATATGTTTACAGATTGGCATAGCGAAGACACCCTTTCAAACAGATTTATCTCAAACAACCATAGTTACATGTGATTTATCTTTAGCATGAGTAGTTACATCGACCACGTAAACGGCGCAACTTTCCTCCGGTTTTGTCCCTTCCCCTATCTTTTCTTTTGCGAAGATTGGAATTGATAAGAATAGCGTAGGCCCTGACGACAGCAAACAGAGCTTGTTAGTGGTTGTCCACACCAATTTAATCACAACAGTCTAACCCTCTTTTTTAAGAATGCAAACAAAAAGATGCCCTCCCCCTGAAAAAAAAAAAAAGGAGTAAAGTGGATTAGAGTATGATTATAGCACCTCTAAACTCACAAAGCCTGCCAGTTCGACGACGGAGTCATAGAGTGCCTGGTCAGATTTTGGAGCGTGAGGATTTGGTAGCACAGAGCATTAAAGAGCCATTCCTCGCGGAACCTGGACGTCAGCACACAGCTTTTGCAGTGGCGAGGACCCAAAACATACTTTTTTCGTGTTTCGCGTCCGCTACGGCGAGACTCTTCTCCGTTGTATGCCACTTCACCTTTTCCATTTCGGCGACCGCTTCTTGTGACAATCTGCCAGGTTTTGTCAGTATAAAGGAGGCTATGGTACGACATATACTGGTGCTCTGTAGCGGGGCACCATCCTGCTGTGTAATCTTTGGGCAGCCCCTTTGTCTACAGAACTCCGAGAATGTAGAGGTTATCTATCCTACCTGTGACATTATCTGCAACTCAAGAATTTCAGTGCTGCAATGGATTGTTTACAGCAAGGCATGCAAGTGAGTCATGTTTTTTTTATCCGCAAAAACGCAAACCTTTCAAATGGCCCAATTGTTTACCTCGGCAAAAACTGCACGGTTCGGGGCACAGCCACGCAGGCGGCAAGGCGTTGACACCAAGAGGTCCCGTTCTCTTTCCCTCGCTGGCTCTTGTGGTACCCTTGTCTCCGTTGACTGAAAGGAAAGTCCCTTCAGTGTCGTGCATACTTGAGCCTCCACTGAAGCAAAAATGATTCCATATGAACCTACTTGCCATTAAAGAGTAAAGTTCACTTCACTCTTATTTTCAACCTACCCAATACAATGGTTTGTTAACAGGAACACCACCGTTAACTAGAAAACTCATTCGTAATGCAAGTCCTACATAGTAAGGAACCATGTTCAAGGTCTAATTAAACAACAAGCATGGGCACTAAAGACACCCTCCTACATGGGTGGGTACTAGTGGACCTGATTTGGCTAATATTTGCGAGGCCTAGCTTGACAACATAATAAATGACATTGTTTCTGGTCACATTATTTTTTTTAGATGATTAGTTCTGACCTTGGACTGGTTTTGAGCATACCAATATAATGTTTGCAACTTCGCCATGGGAACCACGAAGTTCTTTCAAAACTAAATAGCAAGCTTTAAAATAAAATAACAAAAAAAGTTGTACAGATGCACGAATATAATTAGGATTGTCTATGCTGGCACCCGTTTCCAGAAAAATCAACAAATACCAAAGTAATGCACATATTATACATCGTGAAGAGGCCTGCCGACAACCTGATGAAATGCCAAGAATGCATGAACTGTTAAGTTTTCCGTTCACTGCATGGTTCTCTAAAGGCCCGTTCACACTCTTGCGACCTCTTAAAATTGGGTTCCTTAAAACTTCTTACAACGAGAGGACACACTGGCACCATCTATTGGGTAGCAGTGTAAACTCGGCGGTCCGGCATATTTACTATTTCTCTTGCGCATTATCCTTTCTTTCTTGGCTCGAAAAACTTTTGTCAACGTTATAAACAAGCCTTTCCTACAGGTATTACACATGTTTGACCTTGGAAATTCCGCGAAACCTTCGCTCTTGTAAAATGCAGTTCCAGGGTCAACGCATAGATGGTGCCAGAATGCCCCCAGTATGTACCCTCGTCCTAAGAACTTTTAAGAAGTTTTAACAGATCTCGTCTCTCTCGGTCGTACTCAGTTGCAAGAGTGTGAACCTTAAGACTCAAGTTTTTGCCAACTGTGTTCATTTTCTTTAATCTTGGAAATCCAAGATAGCAGTGCCCATGTATCCTCCCGAAGTTGCTGGTGCATGCTTGGGACACCCTCGGAAGCTTCTGCCGTTGACATTGGAAACCTGTGGACGCACACATACTGCGGTTCCATCCTCCGGCCAAGGCTACCCGCTTGCGCTTGCACAGCTTTTGCAGTTAGTTCATGCTGAGGCGAGACGAGGTATAGTGGCATTTGCACATTCAAGATATCAAAACCCACCACATGTCGCTCCGAGCGGCATGATGATGATACCCAAGAGCTATTTCGCGTATGCATCTATAAAACCTATATAATGCACGATGCTGAACCTTCCAATTTCTACATAGTTTAGAACCGGGAAGGCGGACATGCAGCAAGGCTCGCACCTGCAGTTGCATCCACTTTGACAGGTGTAATGGGCTTCCCTCCCACGGCGCCATACTTTGTCACGCCTGGAAGGTTGGCCTGTCACACTCCTATCGACCAGGTCCTCGCCCTTGTAGAGGCACCGGGAAAACAGGATCAGCAACGCGAGTCGAACTTGGCCTTGCCTATGGCCCTGTCAAATTTTTCTTCTGGTCGGGCATCCCCGCCTCGGAGGTAACGCTGCAAGTGTAAAGATAATCATAAATAAATAGGTGATCAAGCAAGTTTTAGTACAGGTATAGTGCCTGGACGTATTCTCCACTGGCGCAATTGCCATCTTGTTCCTCCCATGTATTAAGAGTTGTCCCAAGGAAGCAACAATGATGTTACAAAACCGAAAGTGTCATGCTGCCGAAAGTCTGCAGTTGGTCTTCAAACCTCTAGTGAATAAGACAAGCAGGTACAAGTGCCGCTGCCATCATGGCGTCCCAACTTGTTACTGTGAAGTGACTGTGGACTGTCGAGGCACCGTAAAGAATAGTGCGGCAAACACACCGGATGACTAACCCCACCTAAACCCCCTTGACGAGTTTGTGCTAGTTTCGTAAGTGGCATCAAAGCGCCTGAGCAGGAGGCCCGTGCAGGACTTGGAAGCAAATGGCAGTGTAGCCCTGAAATGAGAGGCACTTGGAAGTGAGTGGCAGCACGGTACTCACTCGTGGCAGGTGTCTCTCGCTTTCAGTCAACGAGACGTTGTCTTAAAGCGAGCAACGAGTGAGCAACGAGACGAGCATCGGCAACGGCGACGGAGATTTCTCACTGTCGCTTGTAACGCTGCTCGGTCTTGAATTACAAGAAAACGTCGCTCATCACATTGGTCGCTTGCTCCAGTTGCTTTCATGCAGTGTGCCTCGTCGTGCGGCTGAGCGATAGCAAAAAGGGTCGCCATCGCTTGTCCCGTCGCTCCCTTCATGGTTGTCAGCACTTGCAAAAATGTGAAGTGTGAAATTTATGTAGGGCTTTGTCCATGCCGGCTCTCAGACTGCTGGCAGAACTTTGGGTTTCAGTGAAATACGACCACATGGTTTCTCACTCTGCTTATGTACTGAGGAGGAAAGCTGACGAGGAAGTAGTTGAAACGTCAGTTCACGATCTCTTCAAGAAAGTTGTTTGAAACACCTCATTTTCTGTTGTTTTTTTGGCTGTCTACAGTGCCGTCCGAAAGAAAGTCGAACAGCACATGTATCCCTGGGGAGCTCGTTAACCAACTTCCCACATACATTCATGCCGCCTCGCGGCAACAGTATGCGGCTGCTAATTACAAAACTATTAACCTACTTGGCCCCATTGCACATGACGCCTCGCAGCGTCCAGCCCCTCTGTCCCATACCGAGCCCCGCTGTCCCCCGTTGACCTCCGGAAAGGGACGCCCATACCATTTTGTTAAAGGGGCCCTGCAATCATATTTAAGCGCCTACCTTCTCTGCGGTTTCCACGTCTCTTGGGGTTCGGGCAAGTCAGCGGGCACGGAGAGAGTAACTAAATATCAGTGAGTCATATTTTAACCGGAAGATGCGGAAACCTCCTCCATTTATGAGGGCGACCGGCATCGCCAAAAGCGCGCAATATGTAACGTCTTTGGTCCTGGGCTTACCACTGGTCAGAGCCGCTAAAGCTTTTTTTTAGTCGAAATACAAAATATAAGTGTCGCGAACCGTTTCAGTTATGTATGAAAGTAGTTTTTGTTTGGTAATTTAGATCAGAAAAGAAACAAATGCAGTTTATAAAGTATGGAAACAAGAAAAGACTCGTCGACAAACCCGCCACCAAGCGGCGGAAAAAACGGCGCATACTAGAAAAGGCTTGTGGGATGAGGCTCCGACGAACAGCGAGCGTAGAAAGGTCCCGGATGTACGCGGCGGCGCTGCGGTCGTATACCGGATCGAGGAATCGACCGGTTCCGAGCGTTCCGAAGGCTTTCAGCACGGGCTTGGCTGGCGATTTGGCCGTTTGGCGGTATGGCAGCGCGAAGTGGCTCCCGTTCTGAACTGATCTTTACACCGTGTTTGCTGTAGTTTGTGGCCAATGAAGTGTTATGCCAAATTAGTCCTTAATCGCGCAGCAAATGCAATGCAAGCCGCCCTGGCCACCCGTCTCATACAGCCTATCCAGAATATGCTTTAGTAGCGCCCTCTCGAGCCGTCGACACGGAGTGCAGCAGCCGTGAGCGCTCGATGAGCTCACTACTCCTCTAGTTCACGGCCACTCAAGCCAGGACCTACAACGTCATGAAAGAGGTTATTTTTTGTTTGTTTTTGTAATTCTAAATTGCCTATAACTTTTAAAATAAAGCGAAATTTGGGAAAAGATTAAGTTACTACGTTCAGTGCGCTCAAATTCGGTGTTAATTAAGAACCAGTCAAAAAGTTGTTGCAGGGCCCCCTTTAAGCAAAG